TCTTTTCCATTCTGAGTCACCACCATGCACTTGTCACCTCTCTGACTGTCAATGTTTGCCATCCAACCTCCACACTTCAGGTGCTATGAGTTCAAGCCTAGAGTTACTTGAGGCTCACAACAGAACAGGAAAGTGTTTCCACATAGGTGAAACAATTTATTTCTCTGTTCTCAGAAATTAACTACTTTAATTGCACCTTCCCTCTTGCTGGACTCATGACCATTCCCAAACATCTGGCACTAATCATGATTAATGTTAATGAAAGCAATAAACAACTGAGAACAGGATATTTCATGTGAAAAGTCAGGGAGTCATAACCATGCAGTACTATCAGCTGGCTCTGGGTATTAGTGTGCAGAGCTGGGATTAACCCCACTCCACATTAGTGATTTAAAAGCTATGAATCTAAACTGCCTCAACAGGCTGTGGGGAGACACAATCAATGATTCACCCCATCCAGAGCTAGACGTCCATGGTGGGGTAGACTAAGCACCCCCTGAAGGTGCTGATCTTTCTCTAGCAATTATACAAGTTGATAGACAAGTGTGACCAGTCTCTCATTTTAGACACATATAGGTCAATGGGATGAATAGTATTCCGTGTGTATACACACGCATGCCTACATACACGCTGTATATCACAGAATGTTTAGGGACGGAAGGGACCTCTGGAGATCATCCAGTCCAACCCCCAGTGTCAAGACAGGGCCACCTAGAGCAGGTTACACAGGAACACATCCAGGCAGGTTTTGAATATCTCCAGACAACCAGAATGTCTCCACAACCCCCCTGGTCAGCCTCTTCCAGTGCTCTGCCACCCTCAATGTAAAGAAGTTCATCCTTATGTTGAGGTGAAACTTCCCATGTTTTAGTTTACGGCCATTGCATCTTGTCCTGTCACTGGGCACCACTGAAGAGAGGCTGGAACCATCCTCCTGGCACCCACCTTTGAGATATTTGTATGCACTGATGCAATCCCCATCTCAGTCTTCTTTTCTCTGGACTAAATAGGCCCAGCTCCTACAGTCTCTCCTCATAAGAGAGATGCTCCAGACCCCTGACCATCCTCTGCTGGACCCTCTCCAGTAGCTCCTCGTCTTTCTTGTATTGTGGAGCCCAGAACTGAACACAGATCTCTACATATACATGTCTGTGCATCTGTTTTTTATAAATGTATCTGCATAGATGCAGCACACAGCACTCGGTGCATCGTTGCAAGTGCTTGCGTGGTTTTACACCCATGTGCGTGTATTCCATGAAGCCTTTGAGCTGAGCTGTAATATAGTGCATGGAACTGTTTCCAGTTCATGTAAACTTAAGCAATGGGTGCTCTGTTTGTTTCAAGAGGTGTGTGTGGCATGCAGCAGCCTGCCTGAGGATGAGCTGGCACTGTGTGAGGAGCCAGCCGGCCATGCCCAGCACCAAGGGCTGCCTGCTTGTGCGCTGCCTGACATTCAAGCTTTTCAATAGCCTTTTGAATCATCCACTCTGTGAGACTGTCTGAAACCTCTCATATAGAGAGACGGACATCGTTGCAGGCTGAAATGACACATAAAAGCCTATCTCCTAGGGAGCGTGTCAGGTCTGAGCAGTGCACATCCGCCTTTGCATGCTGAATGAGGAAAACATGCTATTACTGATAGTACTTGACAGTTGTGCAAGGCTGAATTCTGCTCACTGGCACTTTTTATCTCTCACCTTTCCCGTGCAAATTCCTTGCTGTCTCTGGATGCTTGCCGTTTGTAACTGTGTGCATTTACCTCTGGTTTCCACAGCCCAGGAAGAATGTCATTTCCCTGTCCTTTCTGCCCTCTTACCATCAGTTTCCCTCTTTTTCTTCAACCTTCTTTCCTTGACCCTGCAGTCTCTCCTTCAGGCTGATGCAGCTCTGCCCTGGACCGTCTTGCTGGAAATGCCAGAAGTGTGTGTTTTCCCCTTTCAGAGTGTCAGCAGTGTCCCTCCTCTCCTCTCAATGCACTTTTTGTTTGCTTGCTGGAATCGCATTGGACTTGGCTTGCTCCTGGGTGGATGTTGTGTGTTGGCTGAAGAGACATTTGTTTCTCAAAACAGCATTGCTGCTCCCTGCCACTGTCCAAAATCAATAGACTGGCTCTGCCTGGTTTTACACCCCCGTTTGCACTCTCTTCTCCTTTTTTTCACTGTTTTTTATCCCTTTTTAGGGTTTTGTTCTTTAACAAAAACAAATTAAAGACTTTACACCTGAGCCTCCCCAAAAAACATGCAATGGCAAGTTACTACCTGGTGGATTTCATTCCACCTCTGCGCACAGGGCTGAAAATTGCAGCACTTTGGGAGGTGATTCAGAAGCTGGAGAGCCAGTCCTGCCCCAGGGTGGGAAGGTGGATAGTTGGGTGTGGAAATGACTTTGGCTGATTTTGATCCCCTGCCTGCAAAAGCCTGGAGTCACCGAGGTGCTTTTCAGTTATCCCCCTTTGGCCCAGCAGAACCACAGTGCTCCTGGAGATTTCCAGGCAGCAGGGCAATGATTCAGGCAGGTTTGGATTTCCTAAAGCTTCCCTTTAGTTAGAAACACAAATCTCCAGGGTAGCTGGGTAGTATTTGTGTTCCTCCATCACTGAAAACCCACTCTATACTCCAGTTCAGTATTGACATCTGTAGCCTGGTTTTTGGGAAGGGTGAATACCTCTGACCTGTGGGGAAGTGGTGACTCTCTGAGAAGGCGTCTGATGTCCAGGACCCCCTGTGATAGGTATAACTTGGGTATTTGTGTTTTTCTGGTAATGATACGTATCATTTGCAGTGCTTGCTCTTGCCCCATTTGACTGCACAAGTTCAAGCCCTTTGAGATTTCAAAACACACTGTAGATATTAAATATCTGAGCCTCATAACCTTTCTACAGATTAGGTAAGTGTTATTGCTCAGCATTGTAAATGGGTGACTGAAGATATACCCCTGCTGAATTTGACAGAAAGAGGTTAAGTAGCCTGCCTGAACAGAGAAGGGTGTTAGTAATAGAGCCATCACTAAATCTCAGCCCCATCCACTGTTGGTTAGACAACATTGCTTCTCTATGTCTGTCTCCTGCTTGAGACACACATGAATAAAACATGCTGTAATGTTGTCTATGTCCTTGTTTTACTGTGCTGGTGAGGCATTTCTCTTTCAACATGCTGTGATTGTTGCTATTCCTGGGTGGTTCTTGACTTCCCAGTGTTAGTCCTAATTTGCCAGCTGCATTTATGCACGAGGAATAAGGACAGAGAGCTCACACCTTTCTTATGCTTTCAGGCAAGATTGAGTAGGTATCAGTGGCAACCAGGGCATTCTTCATTCAAATTAGAGCACTTGAGTTTTCCAACTCTTATGTTTCATCCTCTGTTAGTGCAGCAAGCAGTAGTGTTCTGTACACATGCCCCAGCACTTGGGCACACTGAGTTGTTGCCCAGCTTCTGCATCTCATGCTGCTTCCTTATTGCGAGGTACGTTTTTCGGCTCTATAGTGCATTTCCATGTGACCAAAGGCCAGGGCCTCATTCTTCATACACCTGCTGATATTAAATGGATCTTCCTCCTGTTATAACATCCCTCAGACAGGGAAAGAGAGCTGTATGTGTGGAAGCACTTGGCTTCGATTTTCAGGCCACCTCAAAAAAGACCCCATCATCAAATACTGGACACGTGCAGTTTCAGAGGAGGAATTTTTAATTTTTCAGCTCTTTTCCTTCACATCCCCAAGCAGGAATGGTCTAGGAAACAAAGCTGGCCACTTCTAAAGCGCGGTTAAAAACAGCCGTGAGGGTAGCCAGCTGCCCGTTCCTGCCTTCATGCTTTGGCTGGACTTTCTGGTGTGTCTGACCAAGATCAGTCAGATGTCTCCTGGGTTAGTATAACCAGTTCACCCTAATGTACGTACATTTAGCTCTGGTTTCTCATCTATCTTTCAATTACCAGAAGAGCCAGACAATCTCATTTTGTCAAACAGGTTTACAGCACCTCTGAGAAGCTTGGTCTATATTTAAACTGTGGCCTATTTTCAATGTAACTTAGCACAGGAGAAGGTGAATTCCAACCTCTTTTCCTCTCCTACTGATCATTTCTGGAGGCAATCTCATGTCTTATCTCCTTGGGCTGGGGACAGCTCTGTCTTCTGTCGGCACCAGCTTTAGAATCTGATCAGCAATTTCATAGCACATTTCTACCTTGTGTGCTTGTCTCACTGTTTTGAAGTCTTGCTTTCCAGTATGCTTCAGCATAATGTAGTTGCTTCCCAAATTGTACTTATTGCTGAATGCAGCAAGTGCTGCATACCTGTGCCTAGCAGAGTACATGGACACTGTTAGCCAAGATGTGCTGTAAAATTGTCTTCAGACAGAAGACAAAAGTGCCCTTTCTGTGATTTTGGTGGTGTTTGGTTTCTTTTTCTTTCAGACATTTAACGAAACTTCCTTTCCTGTTAGCTTCAGAGCAAATTGTTGTTTGATTTGGGAATGTTTGGATTTTTTTAACAAACGCCACTTTTTGTGCTGACATTGCTTAACAGAAAGATTTATGGAGCACATTAACCTGCTGTATTAGTTGGTGTTGAGTCTGTGGGTTTTCATTGCTTGAATTTGTGTGCACTGACATAAAGCTTGTAAGCTCTAACCATGTTGTTTGAGGTATTGTTCAAACACATGGCACGGAGACTGTGCCAGCCACAGAGCACTTATCTACTCATTGTTACGGTTGTACACAGGTAGACCAAAATCTCCTCTTGTGCACATGGCAAAAAATTTACACTACCTGACTCTAAGAACCAATCCTTGTCTCAATTCATTTCATCCAACTTGACATTTGCAGCTGAGACATGCTATTTCCGTTCTTCTCAAGTAAGCAGCCAGATGTGATGCTTCCCTTTTGTATTCCTTTGCCCCCGTCAGGACTGTTTTGCCTCCTCTTTCTTGGTAGTTTAGATGTTTGAGGCCATGTTTTGAACTTGACAGCTCTAAGTGGTTCTCTCTCCTGGTTATATTTTGCAGGCACTGGTCCGTCTTCCTCCTCACATTTCACAGTGTGATGAAGTCTTCAGGTTCTTCGAGGCTCGACCAGAAGACCTTAACCCTCCAAAAGAGTAAGTGCTGTGATGGATTCCCAGTGCTGTTCAGTTCATTTTGACAAGCTGAAAAGAAAAGGTCATTTGTTTTTATTACTGCTGTAGGTGTGGGAACAGATTTTGTAGCTTTCAAGCAGTACCTAGAAAATGCCCAGCAATTACATACAACTGTGTTGGGTGTGTGGAGGACAGGGGAGTCAAGCAACCCTCAGCCATCCTCCACCCACCTTTGCATTGTTTCTTGCTGATGGTTCTAATGGGGGAACCTCCCCTGGCTTGTGGGTTTTACCTGATAATTATCACCAAAGAGTCATTTAGTTCTCAAAAGCATTGGCTCAGCAGCAGGGGGAAATCCTGCCAGTAAGCACTTGGCTCATAATTACCAGCTGCTTCTTTAAATGCACTCCTGCCCAGAGATACTTAGTTATCTGAAGGGAGCAAGATCGTGGTCCAGATCCAAGACTGTACCTGGAGAGCCTGTTCTTCCTCAGCAGGAAGCCAAGAAAAGGCTGGGAGAAGAGTTCCCATTGAACACGAAACAGAATCGTAGCCTTTACCTTGGAGCAGACAGACTGATTCATGCTGATGCAGTCAGGGTTCAGAGGACTAATTTAGCCAGGGCAGGCGTTGGCAGGAGGGTATTTACAAGCAACTGTGTTGCCTCGCCTGATATTTCCTTTTCTCCGTCATAGAAAACAGGATATATTTTATTGTGCTCCACAGTAAGAGTTTGACTTGGTCCCATTGTGTTTTGTCCCATTCTGCTGCTTTGTTGCACAATTTGAAACTTGATTACAGGCTGTGTTACCGTAATTTGCTTTCTCCAGTGTTGGCAGAGCCCATTGAGCAAAGGGAAATGGATGTAAACCTTTTGGGGTTTGGCCACTTCACTGCACACAAACCTGTAGTTAGCGGAAAGACCTGTATTGGCTTCAGCTTTCTGTTCCTGTGCTGGTGGAGAGGAGAGGACCTTGCTGTTTGACTTCCCAAACTTTGCCTTTTGCACATACATGATTTCATACAAGGGGATGTATTAGCATTTGTGCTAAAGAAAACACTGCTAGTATAGCTGAGAGCGAAGTCTTTTGGGTTTGGTGGATTGGGTTTTTTTTGAATGAAAAGCAGATTTTGAATCAAAGGTCAGGGAAAAAAAGCTGTTTTTTATTGTGTAGCCAGCCTTGTTTTAGAAAAATGCCAAAGTAAATACAGTTGTATGTTCATTGTTAAACACATACTGCAAAGTTCAAAACCATTGCAGCAGCATATGGCTACACCTGCTGACTATTACAGTTTCCATTTAGGGTCTGTAAGAAGGTCTGCAAATGTTGCTTGATCCCACAACACCCCTGTGATGCAAGGAGTTGTTCCCTTGTGCCAGGTAGAAGCAGGCACTCAGAAGAGGCCTGAGGTCCTCAGGTTTATGGAAGAGCTCCCCTGGAGGATCTCAAGTGGACATTGCAAGTCTGCTTTAAATGCTGGTTTAGATTCCTATTTGATTTCTGTATTGATATGGACCCTATGGCATTACATCTGAGTAAAATCAGAGTCAGGACTGGACATCTGCAAGGCAGGGAAGGGGAACCAAGGCACATCCCTAGGCTGGCACTGGCCATTATGGCTTTCTTTCACTTTACTCTCCTACAAGTCATTGGGGGCCTTTTGTTGAGCTCCCTGTTCAACAACCTTGCAGCAACTTTCAAGTTACCCATTTGTTCCTCCTCGCCCCGGAAAAACAAAAAAGACTAAATGTGCTAAGCACAAGCCTTGCATCTTATTCCAACCTAGTAATAAGTGTGATTTATTTCCCTGGAAAATGTAGAACAATAACCTGATTAAATCTCACTTCACTAATGTCTGCAAGACATTAATCTAGAAGGGTTTAAACAAATCTTACCTCGTCTTCTGTAAGCAAACAGATCTTAGGGAAGGTGTCTAAGGTTTCTGCTGGAAGCATTTCACAAAAGATGTATTGTTGAAACTGAAGATTAGTCTCTGCAAAAAGGTGATGTAGATGCCAACAGAAACATCTTAGTGTTTTTCTTCTGTGAACTGAGGGGGAAGGGAGGAGATCTGGGGGCTCACTGCATCACTGCGTAGGGTCTGGGGAAAGGACACCTCCAGGGCGATTCTCAGCCTCAGCAGTCACTGCAGGAAGGAGTATGATCAGCCAGAGAAATCCCCAGTTTATTCCTTCATTTTGCTACTCTGCCAGGCCCCTGCAGAAGCAGTGAGCTAGTGGTGCCCAAGCCCTGTGCGTTCAGTCTTTCCTGGACCTCATGGTCCATCTCACTGGGAGGGGTAGGAGTGTAGCCTGGAACAACATCCAGACTAGCCTAATTATTGTATCTATTTCTTCAGCTGCTTCTTTTAGCCCTAAGTGGGGAGTTGGCTACCATATATTGATATATCAGAATAGACATGACATTCAGTTGGTTAGGTTAAAGCAAGGGACTCAGCCACTGAGGGATGGCAGAATGGAGTCGCTTGTGCTCCTTGTCTTCTCTCTGTGCACAATGCGATGGTCTTTAGTTTCATGATCACCTGCTCTGTTTTTCTGCAGCAGCTCAGCCTCTTAAGACAAAGCCTGACCTAGAGTTTAATTAACTAATTTTCAGGAGGCATTAATTAACTAATTCCGTGGGCATTTGGGTTGTTGAGCCGAGAGAGTCCATTGAGTTATTGCATGTCTGCAGAGCACTGACTGAGCACGTGCTCCCAGCCAGAAAAACATGGAAGCTTAAACTCTGAGGGAGGAGACATGAAGTCTGGTTTACCTTGCAGCGGATCTGCAGAGAGGTATCCATGCCCTTAATGGCTGAGCCATGACTCACAAGGATGCACTTGCAGTAATTCAGGTGCGAAGCTGTGCCCTTCACTTCTGGTCCTATTGTCCTAAAGAAACCAACATTTTCCTGTAGTCCCTTAGGCACTTTTACAGATGTGTTCCCAGCTTCTTCCTTATAACTCTTCATCTGCCCTAGTCTGTTTCTGTGTACCGTCCTCTCTGGGTTATGCTGTGTTTGGCTTGCAGGCTGCTCCCTACAGGGTCATTTCCTACTGCTGCTGTGCTCCTATTGCCTGCAGTGCTGAGCAGCATGCAGTCCAGCTGTAATAAAAGCTGGGCTTTCCCAACATGGTTATAATCCAGCCAATTTGTTTGGTTGGATTCTCAGCTTAGGTTTTCTGTTTCCTGTTTTGGTGATGGTCCAAGCTTTCGAGTCCTGTGACAATTGGCAGAAGGTATTCCTTTCAGCTCCATTAAGCCTCTTCTGGGTACAGCAGTTTACAGGCAGATAGCTGGAGAGATGTCTCCAGAAATCACAGTGTTTGAACTAGCTGATGGTCTCCTCTGAGTCTGCTTCTGCTAGTAGAGCTAGCTCCAGGTCAGACAGCTTCCAGCAGCAGGTTTCCTTCATGCTGAATTAGAGGACTATAGCGGGACACAAAATCCCACTGTGGGATAGCCTGGGATGTCTCTCGGACCATTTCACATGCTGAAATCATGGCCTTTGCAACGTGTTGGGAGCACTGATGGACAAGGCAGGGCTTGGAGCTCCGGTGCCAGTGTTCCCAGGGCAGCTGCTTCTGCTGCTCTTGCTGCGCTCAGCTGATTAGCTGCAGAAAAATCAAGTTTCAAGCCATCAACTCTGGTACAGGAGGAGCACTTTTCAACTGCTCAGCTTGGTAATATGTAGAATTTTAGCATTTGAGCAAATGCCTGTATATATATAAGCAAATGGCTGGGCTTATGTCATTTACCATGCCCATTTAAAGATGAGATCCTGCCTGCTATGGGAAAGGATGCTGTGAGGTAAGAAGGAAGTGCACTTTTAGTTATCCATTATTCTAAGTTAAAACACCATGTCACTGAAAGCCATTCATTTACTGGATACTTCTGTTAATAATTATAATTACTGATAACTAAGCCAGAGGTGGATTAATTTCAGGCTTCTACTGGGGATTTAAATTCAAGGCTGAGGTCGGGCCAGGGCTCATAATCAACAAACCAACCCATTTTTTTAATGTTTCTTTTTCACTAGAAATAACATTAATTCCCAAAGAGTGGGATTAATCAATTAGACATTGCACATGGTCTGCTGCTTTTAGAGCTTTTTTGCAGTCAGGTTCAAAATATCACAGCCAGACCACTCGTGGGAGTTTGCTTTTCCTTTCTGAGTCTGGATTCAGTCTAAAAAGCAGATCAAAAGCCAAGGATTCAATTCTCCAGTACTCCCCCTGCAGAAACACATGCAGGCTCAGAAAAGACTTCAGTTTAAACCATCACTTATTATATATTAACAACTGAATTTAAATCAGTTCTCAATATCTAAGAGTATATTTACTGTAAGAATCTTAAAGCAATGTTCAAGGAATATGCAAATCCAGGAAAACTAGGGAATTTATTAGGTATATGACATAACATTATGAGGGATGATGCAGAAAACAGACTTAATGCTGAGGGTGCCTATAGTGAAGAACAGAAATGCTTTGTTGTGGTTTGTAGCTATGAGCTTTACTGATCATATCTCTATTGCATAAATACTGGTGTAACACTCCGATAATCAGACGCCAGGCAGCCACTGTAGAATGGAAGCTGGATTCTCCCTTTACTCTTCATGTACTACAAATTTCTGATAAGGAAACTGGAAAGAAGTTGCAAGGGTAATGCAGGAGCCATCTTAAGGAAGCATGTTTTAGTTTATGAGTCTACCAGAGCTAAAGCACACCTAGTACACTTTTTTCTATCCATAAGCATGACTGTATTTACATAGGATTATTTTTGTTTCCCGAATGTATACCCTGTGATAAAAATCCAGTTACCTATTAGTAGAGGAGGAATAATTTTCATCTGTAAAATACTATATTTATTCTGTTTTGTTCGAAATTATGAAAATATTTTATCTTCTCTTTCTGCCCTTACATTTCTCTTTTATTTCGTCCCATTAGAATTGTGTTTCCCAACACACTTGATAGTTGAGTCTCTGAGCAGATGTGCCATGAGGAAAGCTTTCATTTAT